CTTCTTTTTTTTAAAAAAAAAAGTTTCTGCATGCTGATGTCTTGTAGCCGACCAACTTCTCTTCTTTTTTTTTTTGGCCCAGTCACGCGATGGAGCCTGCACGAATAAAAGTGGAATTAATGAAATGATATAATGGGATAAATAAATATATATACATATATAAAGAAAACAGGATATTTTTAAAATATTGTTTGGTAAGATTTTAATAAGAAATAAAATATCCGGTCAAAAAAAGTGAGTAATAAAATAAAGCGAACGAAGGGTATAAAATTGTAAGGAGAACGAAGGAGACAAGGCCATAATACTCCTGAAAAAACAAATGGGACAGAAGGACCCGAAGAAAGGAATAGCTGGGGGCAATTTCGATATTTCACCCACTTACTTATCAGCCCGAAAGATTGACGACAAACAAATTCCTTTCAAATATGAGAGAACAAATTCAGCTCAAAAAAAATACGAGAACAAATGTCACTCTAGTTCACCGTACCAAACGCAAATTCAACACAGATTTCCATTGGAATTAACTTCAAATAAGTGTCTTTTACTTAGGCTCTGTTTGGATAGCAAGCCAAACTATGGTTTGGGAAAAAAACAACCTAAACAGGTACAAATTATCTGAAACTATAGTTTGGGTTAAAACCATGGTTTTGGAACCCAAAACCATGATTTCAAGAGAAGTGAATTCATTCTACGGGTGTGTTTGGATGAAACCAAACCATGGTTTGAAGAATAGCTTCTGGAGAATAGATTCTGAAAAAAATAAATTTTGAGAAGAATAAATTTTGAAAAGTGTGAGTGTTTGGATAGTTGTTATTAGAAGTATTTTTTATATATACAAATTGGCATGAATTAATATGATAATTATAGAAAAAATATATTTTATGATATATTTTAATTTGAAGGAATAAAATTGTTAATAATATATGTTATATTAACATATATTAATAATATATAAGATAATATAATTAATAAATAATTAATATGTATATATATTTATAAGATATAAGATTAAATATATTTATAAAAAATATGTTTATAAAAAAAACAACAAGATACATATCCTATAGACTCTCACACTCTCCCCCTTTTCCTCCAAAAGTAAAAAATTTCTGTTTTTCTCAAAACCATGGTTTTGGAGTCAAAACCATGATTTTGAATCCAAACCATAGTTTTGATTTTTTTAAGGGTGTTTGGCTAACATTTTTCCCAAACCATGGTTTGGGTCCCAAAACCATGGTTTGGGGTGCTTGCCAAACACACCCTACTTCTAGCTCAAATTAGAGAGTATGATTGTGTCTATTAGAGTAAATCTCAACAATAATATGACTTTAACGCCCCTTAATTAATTTTTTATAAACATATTTAATCTTATATCTTATAAATAAATATACACATATTAATTATTTATTAATTATATTATCTTATGTATTATTAATTATGTTGGTAAAAAATATATTATTAACAATTTTATTCCTTCAAATTAAAATATATTATACAATCTATGTTTTATATAATTATCATATTAACTTATGCTTTTTTTAATAATTTGTACATATAAAAAGTGCTTTTGATAACAACTATCCAAACACTCTCACTTCTCAGAATCACTTTTTCACAAAATCTATTTTTTTCAGAAGCTATTCTCCAAACCATGGTTTGGTTTCATCCAAACACACCCTTACTAAATAAAATCATTCTCAAATATTACCTCCGATCCTTAATATAAGACCATGTTTAATTTTTATTTTAGTTCTAAATATAAGATCCCAATCCACTTTGTTTATCATATTTATACATTTTTTTCAAAGTAGCCCTTCTAGCAATGATAGTTCTAGTTAGTACACTTGATTAGCAAAGATATTTTAGGAAAGACAACACCTATTTAGGACAAATAACTAACTCAACTTACTTCTTTAATTTTTTTAAATTAGTCAAAGGGCTCTTATAATTAGGACCAGAGGTAGTATTTATTTTGTGTTATAAAAGAACTATTTTTTTAACAGTTAATCCAGGCAGGTAATTTATTATTGATTTGAATTTCAATGTGGTGAGAAAAAACACATTTTGTGGCCACCAAACCCGGCTAAAGAGTGGGCCAGGCCTAATTGATTCGCAAGGCCACTGTGTCTCTCATTTTCTCTAAAGAAGCATCTCAATGGACCCAGAAAATAAAAGCAGTCAAGACTTGCTGTTCCATTGGAAGACAAACGCAGAGATTGAGAGTCGCCAAGTCTTCATTCAAGCAGTAAAGCACCATTAACAAAGCTAATTCGTGATAGTCCCAACGATAATGAGTCGTAAGTTCACTTGTACCAGTTTTATAATTATTCAGACCACTCACATATTATTATGCTGTTTGTATTTTTAAACTTTAAATCGTTATTTTTGTTAATTAAAAGACTAACATTATTGCGCATCATGGGTTATGCAAAATAAACTAATTGGAAAGGTCGGTGATGCTTCAAAAGACATGATAGAAGCTGGGCTGCTTGACGACCAATTCATTGTGAAGCAAAGAGAGGCAGAGGAATAGACAGAAAGACATGAAGAGAGCAGAGGAGGAATGCTCATAAAAGTGAGGAAGTCGCAAATGAATGCCTTGTTCCAGCACTCCCTGTTACTCATACTATACAAACCCTTGAGAAGATAACCCAATAATGAATTGAAAAACCCAAAATTTGTTTATCCACGACGAGCTGCTATTGGAGACGTTATGAGCTTCGATGCAGATATTAACAAGTCCTCAAATACTACGCATTGGTAGTATTCTATCTCATGAAACCCGATTATTGGACATGATCATAAGCCAATACTATGAGTAAGTAATGTGATTACTTGCTCTGTTTGGCGTGAAAGTTTGATGTTTTGACGTTGTTGGATGCAAAAGTCCTAAAAATAAAATGCAGGGTTAGTCTGAGATGGCCTTAGGTGGCATCATCAATGCTGTAGAGGGTGCTGTTAATAATGTGTGGGTCCTGGGGCAACATCTTCACCAAACATGCACGACACGAACAGTGAAGCTTAGTAATCACAGTGAGTAAGAAACAGGTAATGTCGATGTGTAGTGAGTGCTGCAACTTGGGATGCCTTTAATTTTGGCTACCAACACATGGTGGAGCTAGGAAGGAGAAGGGAAGAAGGAAGCGGCCCAAACATGGAGCATGGATTTCATAAATGGGCAAGAAAGTACAAATATATAAACGTGCGTGTGTGTGTGGGTAAGGGCAACAGTAATATTAAGAGGGAAAGCAGCTGCCTGTACAATAATAACCGAAAACATTTGGGAAGAGTGAATGGGTCAAGGAGACTTTTAGATCTTAAAGTCCAATCCAAGCACAAATGGATTGGTTTGGAAAAATATTAATTATGCCATTTGAATTTAATGTGAATGGCTTAGAATTACAATCAAGGGAGGTGTACTAAAAAGAAACCGGTCCTTTCACCAGTGTTGCCACTGCATCTACAAGCGGAGAGTACCATGCGATTTTTATAGTCTACCCAAAAAAATGAGGACAATTTTTAAGACGACAAGTTTTTGGCCCCATGAAACATGTAAAATAATTTTTTTAGGCGGTTAACGTAAAATAATTTTAGAAATAAGGTCCTTTATGTGAAATGTTTTCATTTATAGGCTAGACATATAGTTTTATATTGAAAAAATAATTCTTTTACGTGTATCAGTAAACGAACGCGGAAAAAATAACTCGACAAACAATACAAAAGACTCAGTCCTCACAAAGCTGATATGAAATCTATTCTCGTGTGGATTCAGGGAAGAAATCAGAAAAGTAGGGTAGGAAGTGGGATCTGCACACGTATAGGATCCCCCGGATGTTGCCCGTTCTCTCAAAAGAAGATCCGACAGAGATGCAGTTTGTTAACAACTTTAAACGTATTTTAACTGAGATTATATCATAATATGGATTCAAAGTGTTATGGGTAAACAAATGGACACGTTGTGCAGAAAGTAATATCATCCAAGTTCTTTTAAGAGTTTAGCTTGTTTGGCATCACGTCCTGTTTAAAATAACTTATAAACAGTTTTTCAATCGTAATTTATAAAATACGAGATAAATATATGATAAAAGTTTTGTTTTGACTTATATAAAACATGCTTATAAGTACTTATATAAAGGTGTGTTTGGATTAACGATAATAAAAGTAAATTCTTTTAATTTGACTTTTACAAAATTTAAATTGGATAAAAGTCATATGGTGTGATATAATGACAAACACCTGTTTGAATGCAGACTCAAAATAGGAGGGGAAAAAAAAAAAAGAAATGAAGATGAGGAGGCCAAAAGCCAGAAACTAGAAGAAACTACGAGTTGCTTTGAGCTTCTAGTCTAGAAGTCTGCGGCCTAATAGTCAGTCGAAACATTTATTTGAGCTAGAAGTTATTTTTTCTCGGTGTGAAAGTCATATTAAGGTCCAAGTGATTACAAAAGTCTTAGAAGTTAGTAGGAGGAGAAAAAAATAAAGCTAGTTGGACTAAAAATCATGTTTAATATGACCCTGAGGTCAATTAACCTGCCCAAAAACCACTTTACAGTTGAAACAATTTTTTCTAGTTTCTGCCTTCTGATTTCTGGCTATCTTTTTTTCTTAAAGACTAAAATCACTTTTATTAACGTTGAGGCACAGGATGTGAAAATGACTCAAATAGAGCGTCAACTAAAGAGTCAACTAGAGAGGCATAACCACCCGAAAACAAAGGATCTTTTTTGCTCCTTACAGCTTATTATATTACCAAAAAAAAAAAAAAACTTCTGCTACTCATAGCAGTCATTCTCTTTCAGCATATGCATTCCCAAATTAAAATGAATTTAGACGTTATCCATATTCTTCGTGGTTTTTTTAACATAGCATTCAACCTTAGAACTATATTGCGCACCACAAGAACATATCCCCCGGCCCAGATTTGGCGGGAGAATGCCATGAATAAGGGGAATGGGCGGTATAACAGTTAAAGTGAAAGGGGAAAGAAAATCAGAGGCTACTTTCACAGAAAATACAACTGCATTCCAGCTCGTAAGGCAACAAGGAATTTTATGAAATGTGCATGCCAACAAATTGATTGGTTCAACAAGCCTCAGATTATTTTTGTTACAACATTCCGGCAAAGCAGGAACTAACAGAAATCAGGAATCAGGAATCTTATTACGTAGCAGACAATCTAAAATCAAAAATAAATTCAAAAATAATGATTGGTATCGATTGAGCATTAATACACCATCAAGGACCTTAATTTCTCACGGTAGTTACATGCTTGAGGAGCATAGAAACAACATCCTGAGATATTCTCTCAGCCTCTGTCTTGAGGTGACTGATCTTTGATTCAGTCTCTTGCTCAAGCCGCTTCACATTGGCACCAGAATCTCCACTACTCTGTGTTCATTGAAAATAGTGCAGACAATTTGGTCTCCATAACTAATAACAACAAAATCTAGGAATAGCTTAATATCTTTACTTATTACCATAAGCATAGCCTCACCTCTGCCAATTTCTTTTGGAACTCGTACTCCACCTGACCTCGATATTCAGAAATCTCCTTTTCCGCCTCTTCCTTGGCCTGCTTCAGCCTAGCCAATTTTTCTAACAACAGAAAGTTTAATATCAATAATGAAATAACAAATGGAGTTTATCAAATGTTAATATTTTTCTTTTTGGGGATTTATACAATCACACATGTCTGAGCAGCAAGCCCATTCCCATCATATGACCAGTACACTCATGCTTTCAAGTAAGGATGAAAAGACCAAGGGAACAAAGGAGGGAGGGGTGGGGAGGAGCTAAAACTTTTTGGATTAAATCATTTCATTACAAATGTGAATTTTGATGAAAATAGCCAAATACATACAAGGAGAAAGAGATAGATTTACTCATGCCAATAACGGAAGCATAGAAGGGGGGGAACAAACGAGATTAAGAATACCATTCTTAGCTGCATTCACAATCTGCTGTGCTTCATGCTCTGCAGCCAACAACTGTTGAATTCCACCTTGACCCCTGTTGGATGCCATTCTGTGATGGAAGTAATTGTTACCTATGCTTGAAAGAAAACTGCCAGAAGAATAACCATTAAGTATCACCAAAAAATGAACAGCCATAGGGCAAGTGCTTGGGCAGTTAACATGAATAGATTAATTTTGCCTGAAAAACCTCCTCAATAGTCGCTTACCTCCCTCCCCCCCAAAAAAAAAAAAATCTTGTATATTAGTTAATGACTGTATACAGAGGAAGAGAAGAATCTCTTCTTCCTCTCAGAGAAAGAGGAATAAATCAATTTAAAGCATTATAATGGTCGATATGACGTGGAATGTGCAAACTAGAAGCTAGGTATTTTAACAGAAAGGGGAGCGAAATCAATTTACGCAAAATCCTGTGTTTTGAACCAGTAGGCTCCGCCGATCTCTAAATGACAAGGAGAAAATATTTAATAGTAACATGAATAAAAAAGGATATAGAAGTGAAAATATTTCTTCAGATAAATCTGTTGGAGGATATAAATGACAACCAAAAATTGGACCATGATTTTGACCGTCATAGTAAAAGAATTACATTAAAATTATTCTATCTTATTTTTATCCTTCTATGAGTTAGAATCATAGATGATTTAGAAGCCATTCATGATAACACAAGAACGGACCCACATAACATTCGGAGAAAGAAGGAAAACTTCAAACAGAGATTGAACGATAATCTAAGGCTACGAAACACATATGTAGCACGTATCGAACACTCATATAGGATGCAACGTAGTGAGACGCTTTAAATAATATATGAAAATCTCAAATTTTGTCATGCAGCCTTCTTCGAGTTAGTGTCGTGGCCGGATTCAGACTCCCTAAGTGGGAAGGAAACGGAGAATTATAGCCTCAAACTACTATTCATGGTTCGGTATAAAAGGCAGAAGATCGTTTCACTAGAGCGGTAAGAGATCCACACCAAAAAGTCAATCATAAGACCAAGAAATTGAGATTAGATCATTCTTAAATCCCGTCAAAACCGAATCAGCAGCTCATCATCCTCTGGAGAAGATAAGTAAAATACTAAGATACCAACTGATAACCAGAGACAGATTCAAACAATGCAATATGTGATGAAACGGATAAATCAGATAATAAAATAGAAGACTGTTATCATGAGTTTATGCAAAGATGAAAAACAGATGAGCAGAGAGAAGACAGAAGATAAGTGAAATGCATACGGCGTGTTAGTCCCTCGTCCATAAGATACCATCTAAAATTTATGCGTTTCCGGGCTTGTTTCCCTTATCTTGAAGTTCACCCGAACCAAGCGCTAAATCCAACCCAACCGAAATTTCCATCATCACGAAATAAAAGCTCAAAGTGACACAAAAAATAAAAAAGAGACAACTTTCGGGCCACGAAATTGAATTTCACAGATACCAGACGTGATAGTCCTCTCTACTCAGCGAAAATAGGCCACCCGAGCATGAGCTAGATTCTCATATTACACAGTGGCATGATCAAATGAGGGGGACAATGGATACGAGTTCAGTTTCCGTCCAGTCCAGGATTTTACCGAGAAAACATACAGGAAGCAGAAAGTGGAGAATACAGAAGGCACGACGAAACTAGATCGCTGAAAAGAACCATGGTAACAGACAGAGAGAAGTGAAAAATCGGGGCAGATTTGTACCGGACATGGACAAATCCAATAACCAAAGAACTCGCAGATCTGATATGCAGAAAAGAGGGGCGCAATAGAAAGATCAGAACTTACTTTGGGTGTCGGAGCGCGAAGAGAAGATTGAAGATAGAATAATCAAGGAACAACGGTTTCACGCCGGTCCTATATCTGTGTTCCACCTAGCAAGAGACGGTTTGTTGATTTGAGTTCCGTTTTACCCCGATCAAGACTAGCCACTTATTATTAGTATTTTTATTTTGTTTTATATTATTTTGGATGAGGGGAGAGACGGAGAGTCAATACCTTTTGGACTACATAGATTTTGATAATTATTGATACACACTATACTGTTTATCCGATTTTTTCTTTTCTTTTTTTTGACCAAAAGATTATCCGATATTTCCGCGAGCAGAGATTCGTGGAGAAAATTTTAAAGAAATTAAATTTACTTATTATGTTGAGCAAGAAAAATTATGACAAAAAATTGTAGCTACTTTTTTTTTATTTTTCTGCATCTTTTGAAAATATCTTGAAAATTTTTATATAAGCGTGTGTAAACGAGGGTAAGAAAATTTGAAAGTATATCAAATGCATAATTTCTTTTTAATCATTAATATAATATATAGCAAATTTAACAGATAATAGTATTCATGGTTTGTGGCTCAATTCTTCATAGAGGGCACTCACGTGTAATCCAAACTCACGCAATAAAAACAGATGACTAACCAATTACAATCTCTTTTAAAGGGTCCGATGCCATATTTCACATAAAAAGATATGCATATGTAAACAAAAATTCAAGTTTTAGATTTGGGGTGTGTTTGGATGAAACCAAACCGTGGTTTAGAAAAGTGATTCTGGAGAATAGATTTTGGAAATAATAGATTCTGGAAAGAATAGATTTTATGAAAAAGTGATTTTGAAAAATGAGAGTGTTTGGATAGTTGTTATCAGAAGCACTTTTTATATATACAAATTACTAAAAAAAAGATATAAGTTAATATGATAATTACAGAAAAAAAAGATTTTATGATATATTTTAATTTGAAGGAATAAAATTGTTAATAATATATTTTTTATTAACATAATTAATAATACATAAGATAATATAATTAATAAATAATTAATATTTATATATATTTATAAAATATAAGATTAAATATGTTTATAAAAAAATAACAAGATACATATCCTATAGGCTCTCACACTCTCCCTTTTTTCTCCAAAAACAAAAAAAAATTTGCTTTTTTCCAAAACTATGGTTTTGGTTTTTGGGTGAGTGTTTGGGTGATTTATTCCCGAAACCATAGTTTGGGGTGTCATCCAAACACAGCCTTGGTCATACTTCTGTCCCCTTGTTTTAACCTTTTTGACTCTAGCGTTATTTAAAAAAAAAAAAAAACAGTTTATGAGTACAATATACGTCCTGTTACTATTGGACATTTTTTATGGCGCGTAGCTTATGGTGGTCGCGGGAGATTATATTGGATCCTGGTTCTTCGTTCGGTGTATCGGAGAAAAGATGAAAATTGGGTGATTACTGATTCATTGTAACGTATTAGTTTAATTTTTCGAGTGAAAAGGGAAATTTTATTGAGCAAGATACTTACAAGAGAGTTTACAAAAGGGAACAGGGAAAGGAACTAGCCTAGATGCGATGTCAGGTTAGAGTTCCTAACATGCAGAATATGCTCACTTAAAGCTAAGACACCATTGACCAAGCGATGGGGCTGGGTTGTTTCACTACAGAAGACGTGTCGATTCCTGGTGTTCCAGAGTTTCCAACACATTACACCAAAAGTGATACACCATCTCGGGTGAGAAGCTTTGGTCTTTAGGTTCCGGTACAGCCATTCAGCGAAGGGTTGGCCCAAAAATTCAGATTGAAAAGCGGGAGGAACAATAAGTTTCCAACAATCTGTAGCCATTTTGCAGGAACGTAGGACATGGTTCGTATCTTCCATTTCTTTACCGCAAATCCCACAAAGGTCGTTTGTTGCCATGTGTCTTCGCACACGTTCCTGGTTGGTTAGAAGTTTGCATTTCAGAACAAACCATAGGAAGGTTCGTATGCGTTGGGGCCTCGGCCACTTCCATGCATGTCCCCACTGTGAGCTTTCCTCATTGCATTCTTCTTGCATGAGTAGATTGTATGCTGATTTAACTGAGAAACCCTTTGTGTTATCCAAGTTCCACCCACATCTATCCTCAGTTTCGAAAGATGTGTTGATATAGCAAGCTGAAATCAGATTTAGAATATTCTCCGGTAGCAGGTGGCTGAATTCAGTCCACTTCCATGTCCCTTGTGAGGTGGTATAATGGGCGATAGGTCTTTGCAGTTCTTCTTCGCTAAGTGGCTTGAAAGCTAGGTTGCACAGAGGGTCCAGTTCTCCGATCTAGTTGTCCGTCCAGAACTCTATGCGCTTCCCATTTCCTACGCTCCAAAACAGTCCCATTTCGAGATCATTCCAAATGGGTTTAAGGCATCTCCAAAGGTAGGATGAGTTGGCGTTTTTCCATTTTTTATTTTCTTTGGTGTCATCCCATCTGTATTTAGCCTTGAGAGTTCTGACCCACAAGGCGTCAGTCTTACACCTAATTGCATAGGCCAATTTCATTAAGAAGGCAGAGTTCTGGTGGTCAAGAGCTTTGAGACCGCTGCCCCCTCGTTCCTTTTGTTGACACATGTCATTCCAATTGATAAGGTGTACACTCTTGTGTTGCTCTGTTGTTCCCCATACAAAATTCCTGATGTGGGCTTGGATCCTCGTGCACGTCCCATTCGGTATTCTTGTAGTTTGCATGGCATAGAACGTATTAGTTTAATTTACTTCTCCAAGTAAATTTATTCGTTCTAATTATATTCATTTTTGTACGCCTGCCAAACCGAGAGGGGGGGATGAAGCTACGAGCATATTTGAATAGACACATTCAGCCCCCCCCCCCAAATAACGTATTAAGAATAATTATACTGCTTTACTATAACAGATGTGAAAATATATATATATATATATATATATATATATATAAACTCAGGGCACAACACTACAGTTCATAAGCACTACTCTGTATATTTAGCATTCTTAAACTAAAATAAGGCATTCTTTCTGCAGCAAGGATTGGTAGAATCTCTGTCTGTCACGGGAAGATCTTGTCAAGGAAAAGAGACGAGAGAATCACAAACACCACTAATTAACATAGGAGTATGTGTGTGTAACGTTATTGAAGAATGTAACGAGGCAGTAAATTAAAAAGCGGTGATATAGTAACATGGATCAGACGTCGCCGCTCCTAGACAACTCCAGGTACACAGGATGCTTACGCTTCTGATTAGTAGTCTTCCTCTTCCTGCACATTAAACCTCCCAATCCCACTAAACAAACCGCCCCAATCACAAACCCCATCGTCCCTCTCCTGTTCTCTTCACCATAACCTTCTTCATCTCCGCCTTCGGCATCCAAGTAAGCATCGTCTTCCGCTCTATATTCCCACTCTGTTGGCGGTGGGGTAGCCACTGAACCAATAGAGGCTTCAGATGGCACTCCATAATCTGTGGGACTAGGAGCTTCAGAAGGAGAATAATCATCATCATAAAAATCATCGACTTCAGGAGCCATGACGTCAATACAAGGCGCTGGCGCAGGAGAAGGATATTCGCCATAGTAGGGGTAGTCTTGTTCTGTTGCCGGGGAGTAAGCTGGAGCTGGAGGTGAAGGTGAAGGTGAAGGTGAAGGTGAAGGAGGGTACTGGTCATTGCCTTCTGATTCTGAAACAATGTCGTCTAGGGGATATGGCGATTCAGGGAAGTTGTCGTCTCCGTATGGAGAAGGAGCGTAATATGGAACGTCGTCCTTGTATGGAGGAGGACCATAGTACAGAGAGTTGTCGTTTTCTGCTGTTTCCTCCACAGGAGCCGAAGCTGGTTCAAGTCGAGCCTGGATTGACAAGGCAAGTTGCAGCATCAGCGCAAAGAAAGTCAATATTTTGCAGATTTGAGTCATGGCCAAATCAAGATTTTTGGATTCGTAAGTTGGCTTTTATGAAATGAATAGAGGAAAAGGGAGTATGTATATATGTTGGACGGCTGGAGAAGTGAAATTAAACTTCAATATATATAGATACAGGCGTTTGGATTGTGGAGAGGGCATATGTGCATGTGTAGATGATGTCATTCTTTCGGGATATAAATATTGAATGCTGCGCGAAGAAATTACTGGAAATGGTTTTCACTTTCTGGGATTTAATGGCGTATTCATGTCTGATCCTGATGTACGGCGACCCGCTCCTCTTGTTTTCTCGAATTCAATGTTTGATCAGGTGAGAGCGGAAAAGGGCCTGTCCTGTCCCTGTGTTGGATCCATGGAGTTATTAGAAACGAGGCAATTAATAATTGAAGATATATGCATTTTCTCCCTAATTACCATTTATTATCATATATTTTCAAGGTCTAAGAATATTTAAATTAAAGCTTGCGTTGAATATTCTGATTTTATTTCATATGGTTTTATAATATGCTTATCAATTAAAAAAAAAAAAAGTCTTATATATTCATGGTCGCTGTTACTTCAAAAGTTTTTATTTTTATTTGATGAGGGATACCAGTCCTTCAAGTGTTTAATACAATTCTCTTATCGTCTCTTTTATATCAAGTTAGAAGAAGGTCTTAATTAACTCTTCACTTCTATTATATGCTGCCTCTAATCCTAAATATAAGATCTTGTTTATAGTATAAACAAAGTCTTTTATTTAGAATTAAAAGTAGTACTAAACATAAATTGTGTCTCTTTCCATCACCTTTTTTACCTTTTTCTTCTTCTTTTTTTCTACGCATACTTTCGTATAGGTATTCTCTTTCTATTCGGAGTAATTATACTCAAAACATTGCCGGATGGCAATTAGTCCATCAACTTTTCACTTTCCCTCTGCCATTCTCCTATAAGTGGTCGGATCTCAGACCAAACATAGGTGGCAAGCCTTTCGGCCGAGATCAAGTGTTGGTTTGGTGAGCCTTTTAATAAGAGAATCGGCCTGCTCGATCTAGTTCGGCCGGTCCAGTTCCCTGAACTCTTCTTTCCCGTTTTGGGCCCCGTGCTCTGCTTTCTGATTACTGAGCGAGTGTTTGGCATTCCTTCACAAAAAAATCACTTTTGTGATTTATGAAATAAAACTTTTCTTGCATATTTATTTCAAATAACAAAAAAAAATATTCAAACAAACACCAATTCGAAGCACTGGCCATATATTTACGTCTATCGGTGAATTATCGAAGACAAATCTCTTAATTCAGTGCTCTAAATTTTTTAATGATTATAAATTAATTATCTGAAAAGGTATCAATAAAATTTTAAGTTTTAACACACCGAAATATAACTCAAGTTTATTGAGAGGCATTTCATTTTTACTTCGTGAAGTGAATTTTCAATTGAGAACAGCATCAAGAGAATAAACTAAGATTTTTAATTTCATCGAATTGAAACAAAAGTAATCCAGGTACTTAGATGTTATATCAATTTTGTTGTGGCCTGACAGATATTTTTGCGTCAATTTGTTGTTATTAGTTCAATGAAAATAAAATCCAATATTAGTTATAAACTGTGGCCGTGGTAGGATACGAATTATTGCGAATAGGATTCAATGATTCATAATAACCGGAAAAAAAAGAGAGAAAAAGAAAAAGAATAGGATTCATAATCACGTGGGAGATATGTTGTTTTCATGCAGAAGTTACATGCTGCGGCAGGCGGCCACAAGGTGCCAATATTAAACCAAGATATTTTTTTTTTGCTAAAATATGGACTCTCTTATTAGAGTCAATCCTATTTGACCCATTATCATGCATTAAATGTAGACACCTTTTCTGATAGAGATTCAAATATTGTTTCGTTACGTTATAAAATATTAGCTCCTTCTACTAGATCAAACCTCTGTCGGCATTAAATCAAAATTTTATTTTCTTCTCCTCATAGGATGCCCTGTGAAAATGGGGGGAGCAGATCCAATAGGCACTAAAATTATATTAGTGACAAAGATGGATGCGAATTATTAGAGACTCTCTTGTTCTTAATATAAAACTCAATTAACCAATTTGAATAAATTAAAGATGTTAGTTAATTTAGTTAATATGATTTTTTGTTAAAAACACCCCAAACGTCTTTTTGAATTCCCTCACTTCTCCCTTACTTGATTATTATTGAGGAATATCAACAGGATTAATTTAAAGAAATTAATAAACACATAAAATATATCCTGTATATAAGACCAACATTAATTCTCAAATTAGATCCTGCATTAAAGATCGAAAAAGTATTTTTATAGGATCGGAGGGAGGATTTTAAATCATGAGATATGCCATAATTTTAATCTTGGTCAAAAATTAAAAAAAAAATCAAAATTCGACTTAAATTCTTCATGAGCTGGGGGCAATCAATAAGAAAAAATTTGAAAGAATTACCTTTAAAATTTCAAAATTTTAAATTACTACAAAGATGTGTTGTAATTTGCTTTTCAGATATTATATTAAAATATAGTGAATAAGACCTATTTAAAATTTTAAAATTTAAAAATATTTGGACTCTCCTAATCAACAAGCTAGAGAGGAAATATTTATTATTTGCTATAGATTTGTTATGTCTGCTTAGAAAAAAAATACTGAAAAGAATAGGTGAATAAATATGAAATTAGAAAGAAAGAGGCCGGGAAAGGAGTGGATGGCATGTGATGTGAGGGCATAACGTGAATAAACACGCGGGGGGAGAGGGGGAGAGGGAGGGCTCACAAATGATGATTGCGTTTGATTGGAAAAGGGGACGTGGCCTCTAAAATCCAGCCCCTACTTGTCCTATTCCCAGCTCCTTTTTGCGTCCGCCCCTTCATCCCTCCCTCTTTAATTCCTCGCCTTCCCCTTCCCTTCTCTTGTGATCACCTATCACGTTCCCTCATTTCTTTAACTCATAGCTACCCCTACACATGCCATGCGTAAAATTCAAATAATTGAACTGCGTGCCAGTATAATTTGCTCTCAACATATTTGTTCATAATCAAGAATTTGTTTATAAACCCATTAACTCTATTTAAAAATTTAAATGAATCTCATAAATAACTACAGGTCATTCTCCAAAAATATACATGTCTTACACATGACAATAAAGGTAGTATATAGATGAGTTTCTCTAATTGGGTCTTGCAATATGCACACAGATGGCTACAATATTAATAGACTCCTCTTACTCTAATTTCAAACAAAACCCAAATTCTGCTGGTCCCCATATCCAGAAATACACATCCAATATCGATATGCATTAAAATCAAGCTCCGGGAGGACCACCTGCTCATGAAGCGCCCCAGAAAATTCAAAATACTGAATAAAAATCATGCAGGGAGGGACCATATGCCGTAGTGGCTATACTGAGCATCCCACTCATAAATCCATAAATGGCACAGAGAATAAATTGACACAACAGAACGCCCTTCCTCACAGACTGAAAAACCTCCCTCATCGCCATCATCACCAATACACGTGAATTCAACACCACTCCAAGTAATTTTCTTTCTCCCCCACGCAATTTATAACTTCACAAAATAAGGATACAGACAGTAACACGAAATAAATAAAAAAAAACAAGGACATCAAGCGCACATTTAATTGAAATGAAGGTAATCCCTAAAGTACATAAATAACAAACTTGGTTGCTGACGCTAATTAATAATATATGATATAATTTCATGATATGAGGATGTACAAATTGCCATCCGCCATGCATTTGCAAATCAGTTCGGCCTCAGTCCATCCTCCTCGATCGGCAATCCCCAGCGACAAAGCTGAGTGAGAATTACAAGTTGGAGTGGCTCCTGAAAGACCCCAGAGCTTTGGCCGCCTGAGCTCTCAACACAAATTGGTGGTAAAATGCCGCAATGGCCGCACCGATGAAGGGTCCAACCCAGAAGATCCACTGAAACCGAAACCAACCATATGCAGTAAGTTTCCTTTGCGCAGTTTCATTTGTACAGGCTAGTTATAGGAAATCGAAACGAGAAATATCAGGCAAATTAAAGCCGAAGATGTGTAATATTAAGATAACGTACATGGTCATCCCATGCCTTCTCATTGTTGTACATGACTGCGGCACCGAAGCTCCTGGCCGGGTTGATGCCGGTGCCGGTGATGGGGATGGTGGCCAGGTGAACCATGAACACCGCAAATCCAATTGGAAGAGGAGCCAGCACCTGTCAAAATTTAAGCTGTGCCTCAATATTTTGAACAACATACTGGAACACTTGTAGCATAGCAAATAACTCACTGCAGCTTCAAGTTTTAGAGCGTAAATCAGCAGGAAAAAGTAAGGGGGGGGGGGAGAGGACAAAGAGAGGTACGCACGGGAACGTAAGAGTCTCTGGCATTTCTCTTGGGATCAGTGGCAGAGAAGACGGTGTAGACAAGGACGAAGGTGCCTATAATCTCAGCACCCAAGCCAGTGCCTTTGCTGTAGCCAGAAGACAACATGTTGGCTCCACCTTGATAACGGTTGTAGTAGGCCTTCTGGAAAGCCTTGACCAAGCCACACCCACATATGGCTCCCAGGCACTGAGCCAATACGTACATAATCGCTCTAATCAGCGACACCTTCCTGGCCAGAAACAGCCCGAATGTCACCGCCGGGTTTATGTGTCCTCCTGATAACACCAAAAATTAACTGAATCAATCATCCCCTGCACTCGGCAGTGCGTTAAGAGAAGGAGAAAAAGTGAGTGAAAGTTACCAGAAATGCCGGCAGTGCAGTAAACGAGGACGAAAATCATGCCGCCAAAAGCCCAGGCAACGCCAAGAAGGCCGACGCCATCGCAGGCGGTACCGTTGTGAGTCTGGCTTTTGTAACCAATTACAGTCAAGACAGTGATGTAGAGGAACAGGAGGGTGGCCACGAACTCGGCAATGACAGCCCTGTGGAAAGACCACTTGCGGAGCTCGGCGGTGTCGAAGAGGGGAGCGGGAGGGGGGTCATGGTAGTCCTTGTGAGGAGCGGCTCCCTCGAGGTCCGTGGCCATGCCGGAAACAAAGAATGAGAGAGAAGAGCAGAA